GATGTCTACACAGTATACACAGGACATCGTTGCTGTCGCCACCATGACTGGTTTTCTGTCCCCAAGAACATGACATTCGTGACGTCCTGCCCACCAGGAGTCCTTCCCCACACCCCAGCCATCGCTGCCCGCTCCCAGGAGGACAGGGCAGGCCCAAGTGGGCTGGAGGTGGGTGAGGCCAGCCCACCCCCTCGCTGGCACTGACTTTGCCTTGAACAGACCCCCCAAACCCTCCCCCACAAGCCTTTAATCGAGAGCCGCTCTCTGTAAGTGTTTGCTTGTGCAAAAGGGAATAGTGCCGTGGAGGTGTGTGGGTCCATGGCATCCGGAGTGAGGCGGCTGTCCCGTGTGGGCAGGCCTTGCCCGGGGAGTGAGGCCACCAACCAAAGTCAGTTCCTTCCCACCTGTGTTTCTGGTTTTGTTTTGTTTTGTTTTTTTTCCTATATATATTTTTTGTTGAATTCTATTTTATTTTTAATTATCTCTTCTCCAGACACAATGGCACTGCTTATCTCTGAAATGGTGTGATCGTCTCCTCATTGAGCGGCGGCTGCCACCGCGCTGTGGGTAGTGTGTGACCGTGGCTGTACTGTATAGTGAACATAGTTGGCATATCTTTGAAGTTTGTTGGTGACTCCACCAAACTGGTGTAAAAAAAGAAAAAAAAAGCTCAAAAAAATCCACAAAAAAGACAAAACACAAAAAAATCCTGCCTATATTTTACTCAGTTTCAAACTTCATTAGTCTATTTTTAATTATAAAACCAGAAAGCTGCAATTTCTTTTCCTTCCCCTCCTCCCACCCCACCCCTCATTTGTTGGCTTGTTTTTTAATGTCAGATCTGTTATGAGGGTTTTTTGTTGTTGTTTTGTTTTGTTTTTAAACTGAGAAAGGAAGGGCGGGCCAAGGGACAAGGTGGGCACCAGGCCCTAGGGGCGCCACAGACTGAGGCAAAGATTCCCCCACCTGGCGCCCAGCCCCAACCAGCGGCCGCTTGCTCCTGCCCATGCTTTTTTTTTTTTTTTTTTTAATTTTATAATTGGAGCCCTTGGTGAGGTTACGTGTGCCATGAGAACCCACTCTACACCACGACGCTGGTGCCTCAGTGTTGGCCAAACTCTGGAGTCACTGACTGGTTTGACTTTCATACAGTGAATATGCATTTGGTCTGTACTGATCATGGAATAAACACATCTCTCTTTTTTAATGCTGGCGTCTCCCTGACATTTCTTTGTGAACCAATTGTTGCCTAGGCTAGGCCCAGGGCCCCCCCCCCGGACCCCGGACCACCCCTCTACAAGAACTATCACCAGGAATTACCTAGCCCCTCTCCTATGGCCTATCCCTGCCTGCCTTGGGCAGGAGCCACGCAGGCTCATAGCGGCCACCGCAAGCTGAAGCTGTGACCAGAGCCGGGTACTCATCCTTGTGGACCCTGGCCGAGATGGAGGGTATGCTCCAGCAGAACCCTGGCCAAACTCCAGACAATATTCTTCCCATCCACCCTCCTTCATCCCATCTCCCACTCGCCAAAGGACTCGGGCGACTTTTTGCCTGCCTCGACCTAACTCCTTTCATTTAAGCTCAGGGTTAATCAGATATTCTTAGAGAAATCTACATTCTCCTCCCCCCATTAGAATCCTCACCCTGCCATGCACATAACACACAGATGCACACATATTCCTGCCCAAGAAAGCCCACAGGTGGCTGCCCTCCCTGTGTGCCCACCTATACGCACATGCCCCAGCCACAAGGCACGGGTGATGCCCAACAAGAGCCCCTAAGATGTAAGATAGAAGTATATAATTTATATGTATGCAGAGACAAACATTTCTAGCACTGTTTATTAACCTACATCCCCACTTTTCTACCTGAAAGGTCCTTTGTTGTCTTTGGATGGGCCAAACCTCCCTTCGAGGGTATTGTTTAGGCATCCAGCCAGAGCTCCCCCTCCACTTCTTCGATGTCCCTGCCCACCCAGGCACTTCCTCAAAGACCTCTGTGACACTTCAAGTGTGACGTATTTAGGTTCTTCGGGGTTTTTTCCATCTCATCCCATCCCCTCATTTTTGTTCCTGGTTTTGTTGAGACACTTCACCAGGCTGGGTCCAACTGCTGAGCTGGAGTGATAGTTTTGTCTGCACCTTCCTGCTGAAGATGTAACTCTGCCATGGCCTTCTCCACACCTCCCTAATGGGTGTCTCTCTAACTGGGTTGTAATTAGAAGTGGGATCTATTTGGTTTCTCCAGCCATTTCCCAATCCTTCCCACAGTACTGGAAACCTTAGTCCTATACCAGAGTAAGAGGTGTGTACAAGCCCCTCATGTACTGTATGCACGGATCGCTTGGCCAATAATCATGTCAGTGAATCTGAGACTTGTATTAAACACTTTAGACATTTGTAGAAGGGAATTCGTAGACTTTTCACTTATATACGAAAGGTTCCTTTTTTTCTTTTTTTTTTTTTTGTGCAGTTCTCATTGCGAAAATAAACATTTGTACTGAATATAAAGTTACTCTCCTGTGATGGCTGCTGTCTTTTTGTTTGAGGGTAGACGTGGGAGGAGTGGGGAGGTGAGGGTGTGGGTCAGTGATGTGTAGCAGAGGAAGAAGGGAGGGTCCTCAGGTGCCCACCAGCCATGCGGCCAGATTAGTGGAGTCAGGAAGAGATCCTGGGAACATCAAATTGTCAGAATTGATTTAATGGAGGGTGTAAAAGAAACAAAAGCTGGCCGGGTGCGGTGGCTCACGCCTGTAATCTCAGCACTTTGGGAGGCCGAGGCGGGTGGATCACAAGGGCAAGAGATCGAGACCATCCTGGCCAACATGGTGAAACCCCGTCTCCTAAAAAAAATTTAGCTGAGCGTGGTGGCACGCACCTGTAGTCCCAACTACTTCGGAGGCTGAAGCAGAAACATTGCTTGAACCTGGGAGGCAGAGGTTACAGTGAGCTGAGCTTGCACCACTGCGTTCCAGCCTGGTGCCTGGCGATAGAATGAGACTGTCAAAAAAAAAAAAAAAAAAAATGCCAGGTGCGGTGGCTAACTCCTGTAATCCCAGCACTTTGGGAGGCCAAGGTGGGTGAATTGCTTGAGATCAGATCCCTTAGAGACTAGCCTGGCCAACATGCTGAAACCCCGTCTCTACTAAAAAATACAAAAAAAATTAGCCAGCTGTGGTGGTGCATACCTGTAGTTCTGGCTACTCCAGAAGCTGAGGCAGGAGAATCGCTTGAACCTTGGAGGCAGAGGTTGAGTGAGCCGAGATCACACCACTGTACTCCAGCTTGGGCAACATGGTGGAGAGTCCCATCTCAAAAAAAGAAAAACCAAAGCTATGCTGTAGGCTAATCACACAACAAAAGAAAGGTGGTGGTTAAGTAGCCCAGGGAAAACAAAAGTTTGTACACTGTGAGCAATGTAATCATAGACATCTTCTCAGCTCTGAGATGCATTGTTTACTGAGGCAGAACGTAAACCACTATTTACCTTTAGCAACTTCATGGACATAATTGTGAACCCAGGGTAGTATAATGTTGAGCAGCTTTGACAGCACAAAGGTATATGGACAAAAGTGGGAGGTCAAAAGGGGCAGGAGGTGACAAGTGGAGTTTTTTAAAAGGAAGCTGATAGATAAAAAGCATATTCAGTGCCGGGGTAGTGCCGTGAGCAAGTCTGTAGCTAATGTCACAAATTGGTTAAGTCAAGAAACAGAGGCCAGGCATGGTGGCTCATACTTAGAAATCCCACTTTGGAAGGCCGAGGCTGGAGGATTGTTTGAGGCCAGAAGTTTGAGAACAGCCTAGACAACATAGGAAGTCGCCTTTATTAAAAGTTTTTGAAAAATTAGCTGAGTATGGTGACACAGGCCAGGAATTTGAGACCAACCTATACAACATAGCAGGTCATCTCTATTAAAAGTTTTTGAAAAATGAGCACAGTGTGGTGGCACAGACCTGTGGTCCCAAATATAGGTTTGAGCCCAAGAGTTCGAGGCTGCAGTGAGCTTTGAGATCCCATCTGAAAAAAGAAAAAGAAAAAGCTAAAAATGTTCCAACGGCTGCTTCCGGGAGGAAGGGGAGGTGTAGCCACAGATAGCTGCCTTTTTCCTTACGTCTTTGTGGATGGCTGATTAACAAGATGTATGGTTTCAGGCAAATGACTTCAGCCTCGAAATTCAGGTTCATGTTCTGTATTACAGTGATGTGATACTACTACTTACATTTAATAGGGTTGCTATACGGGTTAAGTAATGGGTGTCCCTAAAATGTTTAAGGATACCGGGAGAAGGTTGCAAAATAGGAGGAAGCTGGCTTCTTGCAGGGACAGCAGAGCCGCAAGGCTCTGTGACTCTAGGCCCCATCACACCCGGCTCTGTCCCACTTCCTTTTTCGGCTAGAACCCTAGTCACTCAATAGGCTGGGTCCTCCTGGGGGAACCAGGCAGGCCCTCTAGGAAACAGGGTATCTCCGCCTCCTCTGCCCACTCTAGGAGCCTGGGCCTCAACACCTGTCGATTGACTCCCGGGCCAGGGCCTGTCGCTTGGACATCAGTGGCCGCCGCTGTCCAATCACAGACGTATAGGGGTGGGCCGGCTGGTCTGTTGGGCCAACAGGAGGACCGCGCCGGGCCGAGGCCGCCGGACCCGCCGTTGGAACCGGAGCTGGGTAAAGTCAGTGCTGCTAGGTCTTTGGAGCCAGACCAAGGGGAGGGTCCCGCGCCCCGGGGTAGGGAGCACCAGGCGGGTAGCGCCCAGGCCTCCCGAAGCCTCCTCGGTCAGCTAACACCGCCCGCGCCTCCCTTCTAGTCCTAGAGCTGGCATTGCCTGTCCCTCTTCTTCCGCTTCCGGGCCCGCCGGACCCGCCATATTAGGTTCCCACCCCGCCCTCGGCCTCATAGACCTCCAGGCCGACCCTCAGTTCATTGGCCCAGGCTCCCGCCTTCTCCGCCCAATGTTAGGCTTCACCTCCTCTAGGCTCCACCCTCTCCCCGCCCACCCGCGGAAGCCATGCCTACCACTTCAACTCTTCCCTCTTTTCTGGCTTGTGGGCCACACCTGCTCTGCATATGCCCGCCCCTCACTCCAGGTGCCGCTCACTTGACACAGGACCCCTCCCCAAGGTTTGTCTGGAATCGGAATTGCCTTTTTTTTTTTTTTTAAGACGGAGTTTCACTCTTGTTGCCCAGGCTGGAGTGCAATGGCGCGATCTCAGCTCACTGCAACCTCCACCTCCCAGGTTCAAGAGATTCTCCTGCCTCAGCCTTCCCAACTAGCTGGGATTACAGGCACGCGCCACCACAGCCAGCTAATTTTTGTATTTTTAGTAGAGACGGGGTTTCACCATGTTGGCCAGGCTGGTCTCAAACTCCTGACCTCAGGTGATCCGCCCGCCTCGGCCTCCCAAAGTGCTGGTATCACAGGCGTGGCCCCACGCGCCTGGCCTGGAAAAACCTTCTTTAGACCCACACCCACCTACTGCGGAGTCTCGCTGGGCCCCGCCCCAACCCTAAGCCCCGCCCAAGCCCTTCTAGGCCCCGCTCATTTCTTTCCCCCCTTTCCAACCTCTCCCTCTCCAGCTCACGCACCCTAGCCTTGTTTCCCGCCCCTGTCGCGCCCAGGTGTTTACCTGGCACTCAGGTGAGTTGTGCACTCCTGAGCTGCCTGCCTCTTCTCTCATCGCGTCCCACAAGCCCCAACAGCACGGAGGGGTGTCAGGCCAAAGGCGGTGGGCTCCTGAGCCCTGACACCGCCTCGCCGCCGCTGCAGGTGCCCCCGGCCGGCAGCGAAGCTGTGGCCCCAGAGCGCGGCGACATGCCCGAGCTGGTGGTGACCGCGCTGCTGGCGCCGTCACGCCTGTCTCTGAAGCTGCTGCGCGCCTTCATGTGGAGCCTCGTGTTCTCGGCGGCGCTGGTGGCCGCGGCGGTCTACGGCTGCATCGCGCTCACGCACGTGCTGTGCCGGCCACGGCGCGGCTGCTGCGGGCGCCGCCGGAGCGCACCCCCAGCCTGCCTGAGCGACCCCTCGCTGGGCGACCATGGCTTCCTGAACCTCGAGGTGAGAGCACGGCGGCGCCATCCGGGCTGCGGGGTCGTGTGGCGTCGAGGCGGTTCAAGCCTTGGGAGGGAGGGTTCCCCAGGCTTCAGGCCATGCCCTCCCCCTAGAGCTCGGGCCTGCGTCTGCACTATGTCTCAGCTGGACGAGGCAACGGACCCCTCATGCTGTTTCTGCACGGCTTCCCTGAAAACTGGTAAGTCTGGGACCCAGGGGCTTTGAGGTGTACGGGACTTGGCGGCAGGTAGAGCCCCGGCTCCCTGGAAGGAGGGAGGAGGGCTGCGTAGATCAGGACAGGCTGAACATAGAGGAGGACAGGGGTACTTGAGCCAGCGTACCCAGGATCCCTAGGCCCTGAAAGGATGGGACAGAGGGGTATTGAGGCTAATTAAAGCTCCCTGGATTCAGGGTGTAGCTGGCTTCAGCCTCAGCCTCTCCCTCTGCCTGGGATTCCCCATCCTCCTTTTAGGGGAAGTTTAGAGCAGGAAGGAAGGGTTGCCAATGGTCCCTGATGGGTGTAGGGTGCAGGTACAACCTGAGGGCCCTGACTCAATCTCCCTCCTCCACCTGCCTGGCAGGTTCTCCTGGCGTTTCCAGCTCCGGGAGTTCCAGAGCCGCTTCCACGTTGTGGCTGTGGACTTGCGAGGCTATGGCCCCTCGGATGCACCTGGAGATGTGGACTACTACAAGACTGACCTGCTGCTGGCCGACATCAAGGATGTCATCCTAGGCTTGGGTGCAGACATACCCCCATCCTGGGTGTGGCCTCCCTCGTCCCACACATCACACATACCCTGCTTTGTCCTTGCTGGGACCAACCTCCCCCACCCCTGCTTCAGCCCCACCTGGCACCTCATTGATACCAGCTCCTCGGATTCCCACAGGTTACTCCAAGTGCGTACTTGTGGCCCACGACTGGGGTGCCCTCCTTGCCTGGAATTTCTCCATCTACTACCCATCCCTGGTCGAGCGGATGGTTGTGGTCGGTGGTGCCCCCATGTCAGTGTACCAAGGTGTGTGTAAGAGACTGGGACGCTGGGATGTACTTGTGTGCAAGGGGGCAGGGGCGTGTATCTGTGTTTGCAATTCTGTGTATACCTATCAGCACATCAGGGGCAGTCATCCCCGGTCTCTTCCCTCATGGAACTCCTCATTCAGAAATTAATGACACGCCAGGCTCAGTGGTTCACACCTGTAAACCCAGCCCTCTGGGAGGCGGAGGTGGGAGGATCACTTGAGGCCATGAATTCAAGACCAGTCTGGTCAACATAGCAAGACCCGACCTGTCTCTACAAATTTTTTTTTTTTTTAATTAGCCAGGCATTGGTGGTGCATGCCTGTAGTCCCAGCTACTCAGAAGGCTGACGTGGGAGGATTGCTTTTGCCCTGGAGTTTGAGGCTGTAGTGAGCTATGATCACACCACTGCACTCCAGCCTGGGTGGTGACAGAGCAAACCTGTCTCAAAAGTAAATAAATAGGCTTGGCGTGGTGGCTCGTGCCGGTAATCCCAGCACTTTGGGAGGCCAAGGTGGGCAGATCACCTGAGGTAGGGAGTTCGAGAGCAGCCTGACCAACATGGAGAAACCCCGTCTCTACTAAAAATACAGAATTACCCAGGCATGGTGGTGCATGCCTGTAATCCCAGGTACTGGGGAGGCTGATACAGAAGAATCTCTTGAACCCAGGAGGTGAAGGTTGCAGTGAGCTGAGATCGCCCCATTACACTCCAGCCTCGGCAACGAGAGAGAAACTCCGTCTCAAAAAAATAAATACATAAAATATGGCCAGGCATGGTGGCTTATGCTTGTAATCCCAGCACTTTGGGAGGCCGAGGCTGGTGGATTGCTTGAGGCCAGGAGTTCAACACAGCCTGGCCAACATGGCGAAACCCTGTCTCTACTAAAAATACAAAAAAATTAGCCAGGCATGGTGTGCATGTCTGTAGTCCCAGCTACTCAGGAGGCTGAGGCAAGAGAATCACTTGAACCTAAGAGGCAGAGGTTGCAGTGAGCCAAGATCGCACTGCTGTACTCCAGCCCAGATGACATAGTGAGATCTGTTTCAAAAATAAAGTAAGTCAGGTGTGGTGGCTCACGCCTGTAATCCCAACACTTTGGGAGGCTGAGGCAGGTGGATCAGGAGGTCAGGAGTTCAAGACCAGCCTGGCCAAGTTGGTAAAATCCTGTCTCTACTAAAAATACAAAACACAAAAAATTAGCCAGACGCGGTGGCAGGCGCCTGTAGTCCCAGCTACTCAGGAGGCTGAGGCAGGAGAATTGCTTGAACTCTGGAAGTGTAGGTTGCAGTGAGCCGAGATCGTGCCATTGCACTCTAGCCTGGATGACATGAGACTCCGTCTCAAAAAAATAAAATAAAAATCAATGGCAATACACTTAGGAGTAATCCTTATGCTTTTTAAGCACTTGTAGCAACAAGGAACGTATACACAGTAACCTACTTAAGGGTCCTGGGCTTATGAAAGGTTTTTCTTTTGTTTTGTTTTGAGACAGAGTCTTGCTCTGTTGCCTAGGGTGGAGTGTAATGGCACGATCTCGGCTCACTGCAACCTCTACCTCCTGGGTTCAAGCGATTCTCCTGCCTCAGCTTCTCCAGTAGCTGGGATTACAGGTGTGCACCACCACGCCCAGCTAATTTTTGTATTTTTAGTAGAGATGGGGTTTCACCATGTTGGCCAGGCTGGTCTCGAACTCCTGACCTTGTGATCCGCCCGCCTCAGCCTCCCAAAGTGCTGAGATTACAGTCATGAGCCACCACACCCGGCCAAAAGTTTTATTATCCCCATGTTCTAGCTGGAGGAAACAGGCTGCGGAGGTTAATAATATCTGTCATATCACCTGATGTTAATACGCAGCGTTATGGTCATAACTGTGCTCTCGTTTTCTTTCTTTTTTTTTTTTTTTGTGTGTGTGAGACGGAGTCTCACTCTGTCACCCAGGCTGGAGTGCAGCGGTGCAGTGTTGGCTCACTGCAACCTCTGCCTCCCGGGTTCAAGTGACTCTCCTTCCTCGGCCTCCAGAGTAGTGGGGACTACAGACATGCGCCACCACGCCTGGCTAATTTTTGTATTTTTAGGAGAGACAGAGTTTCACTATGTTGGCCAGGTTGGTCTGTAACTCCTGACCTCAAGTGATTCACCTGCCTTGGCCTCCCAAAGGGCTGGGATTATAGGAGTGAGCCACTGCGCCCGGCCTGTCATTGTTTACTTGTCTGTCTCCCCAGCTAGACTGTCACCTCCCTGAGGGCAGGGAGTTTTTGGTTTTGTGGGTTTTTTCTCTTTGAGACAGTCTTGCTCTGTGGCCCAGGCTAGAGTGTAGTGCTACAATCGAAGTTCTCTGTAGCCTCAGACTCCTGGGCTCCAGCAGTCCTCCCATTTCAGCTTCCCAAATAGCTGGGACTATAGGCACACATCACCACATCCTGCTCATTTTTAAAGATTTATTTTTTGTAGAAAGAGGGGTGTTATTAAGTCGCCTAGGATGAACAGGGAGTTTTGTCTGCCTCATTCACTGCTATGTCTAGAACAAGGCCTGGCACGCAGTAGTTGCTCAATAAATGTTAGCTGAATAAGGCAGAGGAAAGGCATCCTGCAGGGAATGCACACCAGTGGATATGGGGGTTCCTGGGAGATACTCCCATTCTGTGAATAGTCACACATGGCGGGAGAGCATGTAGCTGGTGCCCAGGCCGGGAGGGGTGCCTAGTACCTTCACAGACTCAAGCAGGCAGCAGTGGCATTCCTGAGTCCTGTGTGCATGACCTGGGTGGTGTAGGGGTGCAGGTGTGTGGGGCCACACCAGGAGCAGGCCTCACATACTCTGCCATTAACCTCCTGTTATCTCTGTGTGCCTGGGAGTCTACACAGTGTCCACACACAGGCGGACTCTTGAATCGCTCTCCCCCAACCCTCCCACCCCAGACTACTCCATGCGCCACCCTGGCCAGTTCTTCCGTTCCAACTACATGTTCCTGTTCCAGCTCCCCTGGCTGCCAGAGAAGTTGCTGTCTATGTCTGACTTCCAGGTACAGACAGTGTGGGTTGAGGGTGGGGAGGGAAGCAGCTTGGGGGTGGGCGGGCAGGGCACTGACGCCAGAGTCCTGCTGTGTACCCAGATTTTGAAGACCACCCTCGCCCACCGCAAGACAGGCATCCCACGCTTGACCCCCAACGAGCTTGAGGCCTTCCTTTATCACTTCTCACAGCCTGGTGGTCTCACCGGGCCCATCAACTACTACCGAAACCTCTTCAGGTGAGACCAGACACCAGGCATAAGCTCAGGAGATTTGCAGGGCAGGCAGGTGGGAGGTAGTCATCCTTCTGCCTGTCTGTCTTTCCTGGCCACAGGAACTTCCCCCTAGAACCCCAGGAGCTGGCCACACCCACATTGCTGCTGTGGGGGGAGAAGGACATTTACTTTGAGCTGGGGCTGGTGGAAGCCATCGGCAGCCGCTTTGTGCCGGGCCGGTTGGAGGCTCACATCCTGCCAGGCGCGGGGCATTGGATCCCACAGAGCCACCCTCAGGAGATGCACCAGTACATGTGGGCTTTCTTGCAAGACCTGCTGGACTAGTGGCCCTTGCTGGCCTGCCCGGGAAGCACGGATACTCTGGAAGGAACACACCCTCGTCATCTGCGTGTACCTGGGAGTCCATAGAATGTCCATACATGGGTGGATTCTTGAATCGCTCCTAGGCGTGGGATTCCTGGATCTCACCCAAGTGTACCTATGGGTGCTTTGGGACACACCATCCCCTGTGCTCACACGCAGGCATCGACGAGTGCATGTGTGACAAGCTCTGACCCTGGGTATGCCTCTTCTCCAGCAGAGCCAGATGCCGGGACCAAGTATCCCACCTCTCCCCTCCCTGGGGCCTCACCCTGCTCCTTGCCAAAGTCAGCCCCTGGAATAACTGCACAAACCTTAAACCCTGACCTTCCTGTCCCTGCCTTCCACCTTCTGCCTGGGTTTTCAGCTCAATGCTACTCTAAATACGATCCTGCTGGGTGCATTTGGCTACTTCAACTTAAAGGTATGTTCATAGAAATGAAATACAATGAAAATGCTCTGCTCAGTTACACCTGCTGTATTTCTTTTCTTTTCTTTTTAACTTGAGACGGAGTCTCGCTCTGTCACCCAGGCTGGATGGAGTGCAGTGGTGCAATCTCGGCTCACTGCAACCTCCACCTCCTGGGTTCAAGCAATTCTTGTCTCTGCCTCCCGAGTAGCTGAGACTACAGGCGTGTCACCATGCCTGACTAATCTTTGTATTTTCAGTAGAGATGAGGTTTCACCATGTTGACCAGGCTGGTATCGAAATGCTGACCTCAAATGATCTGCCCACCTTGGCCCCTCACAGTGCTGGGATTACAGGCAGAAGCCACGGTGCTTGGCCACACCAGCTGTATTTGAAGTGCTTGATTGCCACATCAGTGAAGAACGTTCTGTTAGGCAGAGCTGCTGAGGGTAATCCTAGCCTAAGAGCTGGGGGCCTCCCTGTCTGGCTCCTGACAACCTCCCCAAGGGCAGACCCTCATCAGCAGGCAGGTGGATGTGCAGATTCCTCTCCAGCCTGTCCCAGGGGAGCTCCTGCAATCCCCTTTCCTTACCCATCCCCCATGACCCAAGGCCTGGTCAGGTCAACTTCTCTCGCCCCAGCCTGGGCTGGCCTGCTCCAGATCCCTGGGAAAACAGCTTTCGGGTCTGTTAGAGCAGGCGATTCTGGATTGGGGGCAGGAAGGAACCAGGTCCCAGAACAGCCATCTGGGATCTGAGTCCTGCCTCTCCAGCTCCTGGAAACTTCTGCTCCAAATTAGCCACAGTTTCCGCTGACTCTGGAGCCCTCTGGGGTCGGGGTTACAAGTGGAGGGTGGGCCACCCAGCCCCAGGCTGATCATAGCATTAGCTTGTATTTCCCTGGCTTTTGCCCGGTTTTTGGGGGACGTTGCTGTCATCACCTGTACCATGAAGACTGAGGGGCCCTAAGAAATACATACATTCTTCTGTCTCTGAGATGAGCCTGCCTGCTGGTCATCCCCCTCCGCCCTCCTGGTCCCAGGCACAACACGCTTTTACTCAACATAGATACCATGCAGTGTTCTTGGTCCTAGGGATACAGCATGAGCCAGAAAGAGTTTTAGGAGGAGAGAGCTGACAGGGATCAGGGAAGGCTTCTCTGAAGACCCACAGGTGGGACCCTAGCTGAGAGATGCACTGTTTTGTTGTTTTGAGACCGGGTCTCACTCTGTTGCCCAGGCTGGGGTGCAGTGGTGTGATCTTGGCTCACAGTAGCCTCGACCTCCCTGGCTCAATCAATCCTCTTGCTTCAGCCTCCCAAGTAGCTGGGACTATAGGGACATACCACCATGCCAGGCTAATTTAAAAAAAAAAAAAAAAATCTTTTTGAGAATGGAGTCGTGCTCTGTTGCCCAGGCTAGAGTGCAGTGGTGAGATCTCGGCTCACGGCAACCTCCACCTCCTGGGTTCAAGCGATTCTCTTGTCTCAGCCTCCCCAGTAGCTAGGATTACAGGCACGCTCCACCAAGCCTGGCTAATTTTTCTATTTGTAGTGGAGATGGAGTTTTACCATGTTGGCCAGGTTGATCTGGAACTCCTGACCTCAAGCAATCCGCCTGCCTTGGCCTGCCAAAATTTTTTTTACAGAGACAGAGGTCTATGTTGCCCAGGCTGGTCTCAAATTCCTGGGCTCAAGTGATCCTCCCACCTCAGCATCCCAAAGCGCTGGGACTCCAGGCATGAGCCACAACGCTCGTCTTGGGATGCACTTTTTTGGGGGAGTGGGAAGCAGTGACTAGGAAGGTCCCAGGCTGGAAGAACCTTGGGTCACTGGAGTCACAACACGCAGGCCAGGGGCTTGCTAACAGTGAGCAAGGAGGCTTCAGAGAAGAGGCCACACAGCCGGAACCGCCAGGGGCTGCCAGGAGCTTGGATTCGGTTCTCAAGGGGAGCCGGGGAGGTTTTTCAGCAGGGGAGGGACATGGCTTGCATTTTGAAGAGCTCCCTGTGGCGGTTGGACAGTCCCACGCAAAAGTGCGAGCGCCGAGGCCTGCAGGGGGCTGCGCGCGGCCACAGCACAGGGCGGTCCTACCGCCCGGACTGAGCAGGGACCCCCGGGGCCCGGCCCAACCCGGGGCCCCTGCCGGGGTAGGAGCAAGGTCCCCCGCCCCGGGGAGGCGAGGAGACGGGCGGGAGGAGGAGGGGACCCTTGAGACGTGGGGCCCCGGGACTTCCGAGCCTGCGGCGGAGATTTGGGGCGAGGAGGTCGTTGGGGCGAGGAGGTCGGCGGACCGGACCAGGACGGTGTCCAGGGGGCGGTGGGTCCTGGCGACGGTTGCCGGGGTGACGGGGGACGGGTTGATGGTTGACCGGAACGGGTAGTGGTTGTCCGGGTGACTGGAGGGGCCCAGGCAAAGGCTGACGGGAGGCCTGGGACAGTTGCCCGGGCGACTGGGGTCCGCTGACGGTTGCTAAGACGATGGAAAGGCGCCTTCTTCCGCCTCCGCGGTTGCGGGAGGGAGTGAGGGAGGCGGGGTCTTCTGAAGAAGGCGATCCCGTCGATTGGGCAGATTCCTGGCGGATAAGCCAATAGAAACTCGTGTATCGTCCTAGACCCGCCTCCCCCAGCCTGAGCCAATCCCGGCGCTTTTTTTTTTTTTTTTTTTTTTCCTCCTGGCTCAAGGCCTTAGCGCGCGCAACTTTTCGGGCGGGAGCTGGGACCTCGCGGGCTCAGGCTGGGGTTCCTCCCAAGATTGGCCGGTCCGTCTCCCTGCCTCCAGACCTCTTTCCATCACTCACTCACTCACTTATTCAGAGAGCTGCATTGGTGGTTCAGTAGTAGAATTCTCTCTTTCCATTCATTCAATCATTCATTCATCTGTCCCTGCCACCAGTTCCAGGAGACGTGGTGGAAGACAAAGCCCGGCTCAGACACTGCCTGCAGGGTGTGGTCAGGCACGGGCGGAAAGAGCAACTAGGAGCACTTACCTGAGGGAGGGAGGGAAGGCTCCCTGGAGGAAGCAGTCTTGGAGCTGAACTTTGCAAAGCTGGGCTCCGACCCACAGAAGCCACCCACGCAGGGATGATTTAGCATTTCCGTGAGACTGGAAGGAAGGTTTGGGATAGGAAGACGTGGGACTGTAAAAGCCTTCCTAGGCCAGCAGGGGAGGGTCTCAGACAGATCTGTGTGTCTGGAATGTTACTTGGAGGGTGGTGAAAAGGCCTGACCCGAGGGGCCGACGGAGGGAGGGGAGGCCTCAGAGGGGGAATGGGCGTGGTCTAGGCAGTGGAGAAAGATCCTCAAGTCCAGGCAAGAGGACCAGATACGCTGAGAAGGTACAGAGGCAGATTTGTGATATATTCAGTCTGATGGGTCTGGATCCCGGGGTAGGGACCTAGAAGCATATTATGGGCTAAAGACAAAATAGCCCAGCATCCCAGCACTTTGGGAGGCTCTGGCGGGTGGATCACGAGGTTAGAAGTTCGAGACCAGCCTGGCAAATATGGTGAAACCCCCATCTCTACTAAACATACAAAAAATTAGCTGGGCGTGGTGGCAGACACCTGTAATCCCAGCTACTCGAGAGACTGAGGCAAGAGAATCGCTTGAACCTGGGAGAGAGAGGTAGCAGTGAGCCAAGATTTCGCCATTGCACTCCAGCCTGGGTGACAGGGTGGGACTCCGTCTAAAAAAGATAAAAAGCCCAGAAAGCATCGATGTATTGTGGAGCAGAGAGGCTCTGAAGCTGGGAGCCAGGGTGAAGTCTCCCTAGAACAGAGTGGAGAACAAGACTCGAGACTGACTCCTGAGGGTCCCCAACACCTCAGAGACAGGCAGAGGAGAGATGCCACAAAGGTAGGAGGTGAACCAGGCAAACATGATGTCCCAGGAATGGAGGAGGGAGGAGTGTCAGGGAATAGGGATGTATTTCCTGGCCTCAAAAGCCCCTGAGAAGGCCGGGCACGGTGGCTCATGCCTGTAATCCCAGCACTTTGGGAGGCTGAGGCGGGTGGATCACGAGGTCAGACGTTCAAGATCAGCCTGGCTAAGATGGTGAAACCCTGTCTCTACTAAAAATACAAAAATATTAGCCAGGTATGATGGTGGGCGCCTGTAATCTCAGCTACTCAGGAGGCTGAGGCAGAGAATTGCTTGAACCTTGGAGGTGGAGGTTGCAGTGAGCCGAGATTGCGCCACTGCACTCCAGCCTGGGTGACAGAGTGAGACTACATGAAAAAAAAAAAAAAAAAAGTCCAGAGGAGCAGCTCCTCATCTCTCAAGTAGGAGGAAAAGCAGCTGGGACAGTGGGGACAAGTGGCATCCCTACAGGAAGGAGGACAAGCTTCTGGGGCGAGGAATGCAAAAACGAGCAGTTAGGGCAGGGGTCCCCAAAACTCAGACCACAGAGGAATGGGGACATACAGCAGCAGCTGAGTGGCAGGAGAGCCACTGAGACTCCATCTGTGTTTACAGCTGCTCTCCATCACTGGCATTACCACCTGAGCTCTGCCTCCTGTCAGATGAGCAGCGGCATTAGAGTCTCATAGGAGTGTGAACCCTACTGTGAACTGTGCATGCATGGAATCTAGGTTGCACACTCCTTACAACAATCTCGTGCCTGATGTGTGTCACTGTCTCCCATCGCCCTTAGATGGGACTCTCTAGTTTCAGGAAAACAAGCTCAGGGCTCCCAGTGATTCTACATTATGGTTGTATCATTATTTCATTATATAGTACAATGTAATAATAATAGAAATAAAGTGCACGATAAATGTGATGTGCTTGAGACTGGCCACAGTGGCTCACATCTGTAATCCCAGCACTTTGGGAGGCCAAGGCAGCTGGATCACCTGAGGTCAGGAGATCGAGACCATCCTGGCCAACATGGTGAAACCCCATCTCTACTAAAAATACAAAAATTAGCTGGGCATGGTGGCACGTGCCTGTAATCCCAGCTACTTGGGAGGCTGAGACAGGAGAATTGCTTAAACCCGGGAGGTGGAGGTTGCAGTGAGCAGAGATCGTGCCACTGCACTCTAGCCTGGCACCTGGCAACAGAAT